CGCCTTTAACTATTTTTGAATTCTATTTGCATCTATTCACAATAGACTAGAGTCTAAGTCAATAAGGGGCTACAAAAACTTAATGAAAATATAAATAAAAAAACTGTTGCCTACTTCCGAGCGCACGAAAATCTCGACCTATTCTCCAGCTAATTAAGGATGCAATTCCGAAAATCACTCAATATGCAACACACACGTACACCGGCAGCTGAATTGAAAGGCAGTGCCACGCCCACTTAAGACAAGTGACGCCATTCCCAAGCCATTTGATTTGGAATTGAGATTGGGCCACTGCTGAAATGCGAGAATAATTCTCAATATATCTTTCGATTTGCACTCGCACTGCATTGGCTTTAGTCTCAGCTGTAAGTTGTGTGTGTGTGTGTGTTGTTGTCGCCTGCTGTGCTGCTAGCTGCTTGCCTCCATTTGGCTTAGCGTCCGGGCCATCACTCGTTCTGCCTCTTGTATGCTTATGCCGTAGTAAACAACATAAATTTTTGTTAAAGTCAACAGGACGAACATTGGCTGCATATCCTTCGCGCTATGGCTATGCACAACAACTGCTTGAATCCATCAGGGAATATATATATATATATATATATATATATATATATATACAATGTTTAGTTATTTAAACATATCTCTATATACATATATAATATTAACTCGTTTCTCAGCTCGACACAGACTGAGCTCAGATTTAGTTTGTTTTCGTTCGAAATTCTTTAAGCTGAAAACTTAATATAGCTTTAATGGATCTATTTGTAGTGCTTTAGATGTGAATCGAGTTACTTCAGACGAGTTTCTCTTAATTGCGAGCTAATTGAGTCTTTTAATTAGCCAGCTCTGCATTTGCTTTACCCGCTGGCAAACAAATGGGTCTTTAAACTAACGAGGGAGAGAGACGGAAAGAGAGAGAGAGAGAGAGAGAAAGGGAGAAAGAGAGAGAGATAGAGACTGAGATTTTTCTTTAATTATCCTTTCATATCAAAGTTTGTTTGGTTGACCTATATAGACATATATTACTTTATATAGACATATATTACTTTATAGTAAGCAATCTCGAACGATATTTTGTTTACTTCTTAGGCAAGATTTCCTGTAGAGGTTCTGTGTTATATTTTTCTCAATCAGGGCTCTCAGCCCACACCATAACAATGTCTGGAAATAAATTTGAATGATCTTAATACGCATATAGCAATAGCATTATACTACCTTATTTGCTATAAACGGAGAGCCATTGTCTATCTAAATGAATGAAATGCATCTGTTCATGTGAGTAGCTCCTGTGTCGTCGCATCGACTTATTTCTCATTTATGCACATCTGTTGCGTTGTGCTTGAGTCATTGCCTTGTGCAGAGGGGCGCCTGTGTACACTGAGAGAATATATTGAAAATGCTGGCTATCGATAGGTTACCTATCGAAAAACAAAAATCCATTATTGACTTCTCTGACTGCATTTATGTAATAGAATAAAAGGAACATTTGCTATATGTAGGTATATAAATATCGATAGCTGAGTGTGTGATCGATAGTCACAGAGACTTGATAAGTGATCGTCAGCAATTGGAACAGTCTGCAGCAGATACTTATCGATAATAACCGATAGTCCGCAAACTCTGTTCTATAGTAATGAGCTTTCAGCTCATATACTTGAGTATTTCTTGCAGTGTACTTAATGTGGTCCTTTAGCTGGCAGACATGCTTACCGCGCTGCTACTGCCCCGCCTGGCGCATCATGGGCACAGAAGCCAGAAGCCCGCATCCGTCTGCTATCAGTTTTCCCAGCTGTGCACACATGGAGAGACACAGAGGGAGACGGGAGAGGGAGAGAGAGCCTCGATGTCATTTTAAAGTCAAGTGAGATACCACTTGGCACACACGCACACAGACACAGACAGAGACAGAGACAGAGACAGAGACAGAGACAGAGGTGTAAGTCAGGTGGTTTGCCTAACCAAATTGATTGATTTGCTCAATGTCTGCGTTGGGTTTTAGTCTAACTTAAGCAAATGCCATAAATATTTAAGCACACACACACACACACAGAGGGCTGGGTGCGAAACATAAAATTGTGATTTGACAGTAGGTAAGCGGGTAAGAGGTTAGGCTATAGGGGTTAGCATTTTGGGATTGAGAGAACTTAGCCTGGATGCTCAGCTGGCTGAGTGTGTTTGGTTGGCTTTTTGTTGACTCATGGCTCATTAGCCCGAAAGCCAGGCCACTGAGAAATGTCCCCGACCAACTGGGGCAGCCGACTGTGATTACAGCCACCAGAGAGGCACACAAGCACACTCACACATACACACACACATACACGTACATATGTCTGCGTGCTTTAAGTTGAGAAACCGATTAAATTTGTTGCTACAAATGGGCTTCACACCTGTTGCCACAAATCGAAGCGAACCCAACTGGCAGCTCTGGCTCGATAATAGAGTGGCTCCATAGAACGGTTCGTTCGTGAACTTCCGTTCCACTGATCTCTCAATCAGCTCACGAGTTCATTTAAATAAGACGTTCAATTGACCCGATTCGACGTTGACATTGACATTCAGTCCGGGCTAAGTAACCGGCAGCAGGTAACGAGTACTCGCTGTCAGTAACGAGTTATCGGTTAACGTGTGGTGCTTGTTTACACTGAAGTGCGCACCCCCACACAATCACACATGCATACACACGTTTAATCTGTGGCACGCTTTGAGTAGCCATTTGCTTTCCAGTCAGCTCGTCCATGAAGTGCAAAATAAATACAATAAAAATCGTTAACGACCAACAAAAAAAAGAGACGAAAAGAGAGAATGCTAAGGGGCTGAGGGGCGAGGGTGTGTGTGTGTGTGTGGTTGTACGTGTTAAGGGCTAGGGTTAAAGCAACTGCCACACAAGCCAAAACAATAAAACAATAGCTGCCGAGTCCATGCAGCACCCGCACAATTGTGTGGCAAATGATGCATGAGGTAAATAAACGAAAGCCCCAAAATGAAACACAAAAGGAAAACCACCTCGAAACCAGATCGAGAGCACGAATATTCGCCACCCGGTAAGGGGATTGCCTTGAGGAGATAGTAAATTAATCAATATAGCTCTTTTCTTATACCTGACTTTTCACAAATCGATCATGTTCGATACATATCGATATATTAACTAAACTTCTATCATCTCTAGATTCTCTTGCAAGACATCCTCAGTATATCCTCAGAGCGATAACATTCGATATATGTATATCGATCTATTAACTAAATTTCTATCATCACTAGAATTTCTGTTTTCATTCCTCATGATTTGCTACGAGACAAAAACAATATACAAATATCTTAAAAATAATATACACATATATGTAAATGTTAAATATAGAGTCTATAAGAGATTTCAAATACCTGTTACAAACGACCTCACACAACGCATATACCCCTTCATTAAGAGGGTATGGAACCAAGATAAAGCAAAATCGAATAAACATTGCAATTGGAATTTATCTAAACCTCAGCATAGCCACAGCCGCAGCCGCAGCTCAGATATGTGCTGACTGTAAAAGGTTTTGCCGTATTTGTCAACAGAAAATCAAATTTAATTTCCCAAATAATTTCCATTTCCGTTTATGTTTATGCCATGAAGCACTAAGCTAAACGAACTTTAATACCCACAGATGACAAAAACTGATTATAATCAAAGTGTTGTTCAACCCTTGGCAACATCTCTGAGTGAACGTGTGTGGGTGTGAGCGAATGTGTGTGTGTGTGTGTGTGTGTGGATGTGGGTGTAAGTGAGTGTGTGTGGTTAGCCCAAGTGAAGCAGCTGTGAATCTGATTACACCTAAAGTGCTAGGGCAAGAAAAACAAACAACAACTAAAAGTGTTCTAGTCGGAAGTGACCGACTAGCAGATACCACATAATGAGAAACTAATATGCTTGAATGATATAGTTTCTTTTTAGGTCCGAATAATACCTCTTAGTTTCGACTTAACAATGGGATATTATTAAAAATCACAAATATATTTATACTATAAATACTATATACTATAAATTTTATAGTGTTTATTTATTGCAGTGTTCCACATACCCAATAGAGTAACTAAGGTTAATTTTGACTCCTATTGATAATCACAAAATTACATATAAGTTATGATATATAATTAAAAACATCAGGTCTCTCTAGTAGATCAAAAATATACATAGCATACCTATATACTCGATAAACTCAGCTTTGTTCTATCTGTTGCGAACGCTTACACCCAAAAATTCCCTTTTCCAGTAAGTTCAGGGTATGGCCAGAAAATAAAAATTCGTGAGTAGGGGAAAAGGAGCGAAATTCGATCACGTAAATTGAGTTTACGCTTTGAGTCGCTGTTGAAGCAAGCAAAGAAAAACATTTGCGGCAGCACGTAGCTCGCTGAAACCGTATTTGCCGTGCATGCGGTATTTGTTTAAACAGCGACTACTCCAACAAAAAAAGTGAGGAAAATGATGCATATATGAAATGCAAGAAAAAAAAAAACAAAAAACAAAAAATCAAATAAATTGAGGTTAGGTCATGATTGCTGCTTGAACTTTGGCAACAAGTTGGATTGTATTGGTCATTTCTCTACTTAAGCTGTGCAGATGTTCAGCTGTTGACCACCAAACGTGCCGGCCATGTGCCTAATGTCGAGCCAGAGATCATCATCAAAAGAGCTAAACAAATTGTGGTTAGGTCAGACTTGATAGTTGAAGCTGGCGTGAAATGGTGGGCTAAGACTGAAAACATCTAAAAGGTAGCTGAGCTATGAATCGATAAAGTCATTGGAAGTTTTTGTAATATATCTAGAGATCAATCAAGAAAGTTGGCAAAATTTTAGGTTAAGTCAGACTTGAGCAAACGTTAAATCGAATTATTCCAATAATTTGAGTTTGGAAAACTAATGCAGACGAGCTAAGAGTGTGTAGGTGCTTTTGATGTCTTGATGAATTGAGGTTAGGTCCGAGCTGGCAAAGGAAGTCTCTAAATTGATGCCTCAATATATATAATATGTCCTCTTGACATCATTTAATATATTTCTAGAATCATACAGTAGTAAAAACAGATAATCATTCACTGTGTGTTTGTCAAGAAGCAAACAAAACGCATTTTCCAAAACTGTCAAAGGGAGCGAACTAAGGAGTCGAAGAGGGGGAAAGTTAAAGAGCGAACAGATGTGTGTGCGTGTGTGTGTGTGTGGGTGTGCGAGCGAGTCAGCAAGTGAGTGAGCGAGCAAGCGAGTGAGTGAGTGCTTGAGCAGGGGGCCAAGCTAGAGTGAATTAGGTGCAGCGCAGTGCTGTAAAGTGCAGAATGCAATGCAGTTATATGCAGTGTTATCAAATGTAAAATGTAATTTGGAAAAATGCGTTTCGGTTTCAACTGATCGAATTCGTGTGCTAGGCTGCTGTCGCTGTCGCTGCTTAAATGTGCTGCCCGAGGGTGGTGACCAGCTTGATCAGCTGATTGCGCTTGGCCTTGATGACATCCTGATGCAGGGGCTGCACCCCATCGACACTGTCATAGCGATTCACATAGTCGGTGATCTGGTCGGCCATGCAAATGACATGGATGCCGCAGTCGTAGTCGTTGCTCTGCTGGAGGCAGCGCATGCCACGGAAGCGAGCGTGCTGCATGTCCAGCACATCCTTGATATTGTTGACCAGCTCCAAAGAGCTGCTCGTATTGCTCCCGCCATACGAATCGAAGTGAAAGAAGCTCTTGTCTGGCCGCGAGGCCACCACCAGCGACCAGTGGGCGCCGCCTCGCTCACGCGACTGACTATCGTTGACCGCTATGAAGAGGAACGGCTTGCGCAGCACCTGATGCTGTGAGACGAGCAGTCCGTGCAGCTCCTTGTCGTCCATGTAGAGCATGCACTGCGACATCTCCGGTGTGACAAAGAGAAAGTCCGTGTTCGACTTGTACTTGATCTCCTCCAAATAGGCGAAATAGAAATTCAATATGGCATCGTTCAGCCAGTGCGGTCCGTGCAACAGCTGCACATCGCTCATACGCAAGGCGTTCTTGCTGAGCGATGCCAGGATGGGATCGGCGCGCGAAGCCTTTGGCTTCTTGGTGTGCATCACATTGGTGGTGCTGCTGCTGCTGCTCGAGCTGGCTGGGCCTATGTTGTTGTTGTTGTTGTTATTGCTGTTGTTGTTGTTGGTGTTGCTGCCATTGCCATTGCCATTGCCATTGCCATTGCCATTGCCATTGCCATTGCCACTGCTCTTCTGCTGATCGTTATGGCCATGCCCATCCTGATCCTTGCTGCTGTCGTTGCCATTGCCATTGGTATTGCTGTTGGCATTGCTGTTCATCTCGTTGCCATGGCCATCGCCCATGGCCTGCTCGTCCAGCTCGGCGTTGATCAGCTTCTTGCTGCCATTGGCCGTCTCATCAGCGGCAGCTGTGGTAGCCCCTTGGACGCGTCGCTCGGCGCGTTTCTTCTGGCGCACGTTGCGCGGCATCTTTGAATTGATTGTATTGATTGATTGTGAGTTAACTCCCTTTGTTGCTCGTCAGGCGTGTCCAATCTCTGTGAAGATTGGGCGAATTCGACAGAGCTACAGAAATAGAATCGAGGAATGCAGAATCACAGAGACAGGGAGAGAGAGAGAGAGAGAGAGAGCGAGAGTTCTAAGAATTTGAGTAAATTGGAATTTTCATTTAATACTTACGCAGAATTCAAGTCAATGTGAATTTCAAGTCAAAATCCAAAGAAATAGTCTGAGTTTGGGTTCCTTTTGTTTCTGACGAGTATTACACTAGCTATGTAGCCTACTCGGTTTCTAGTTTTTTTCTGTTACTGTTCATCAGTTTTTTCTAGGCCAACTTCAATAGGCTTTTCCCAGCTAATTGTTAATCGTTGAGTTCAAATATCGATTGGTTTTTGACTTTTGTTTTCATTATCAATACTCATTCAAGAGAGGCAGAGAGAGAGAGAGAGAGAGAGAGACCAAGAGAGAGAGGGGAAGAAATCACTTTTAAGGTGGACGCGTGAAAAGAGAGAGTATAAGAAGTTTCTACATCTCAGCTTCTATTTAACACATCAATAGCTTTGCGCTTATCGATACATTGCGATAAATTTGAGCTATGCAACAAAATATCGATATCAATACAATAATTTGACAAATGAAATATACTTGTGTGGTGTGTGTGTGTGTGTGTGCTTATTTCAGCATGTGTGTGTAGCCTGTATCTCTCTGTGCTCAGCTGCGCTTGACATTTGCCCAAGCGGCTGTCACAAATCCAGTTAATTCATTTAAGTGTAATTGTATTTGCTTGCCGGTTTTTTAGGGAGGCTGGGAGGCTGCGATGGAGATAAATACGCACATACATACATTTAAGTTTATGATAAGAGTTTTTCCAGAAAGGTCTACTCTAGTACCGTGCGAATCCCTTGGTTTTTTGTAACCATCTTGAAACGCACTAATTATAGTGATAATCAGCTATATCTATAAGTGTTATACATATGATAATAAAAATTTTTTTTTTTTATATTTCGTTAGCACTAGAATTAGTGACTTTTTAATATAATTAAGTAAAACAAGTAAGAAAGCTCTAGTCGAGACTGCTTGACTGCGAGTCTCCACTTTTAAATGGGTTCAGGGTATAAAAATAAAATCATTATACCCTGATTTCCCATTTTCAAATGTGGAGAAATCCACATATAGGGCAAAAGTTTAATTCAATAATAATTCTAACTTTAATTCATACTTTATTATTATTTTTATTAAAACTCTATGTTTTCTTTTGTTTGTATTTGAACGATTGTTCAAATGCGTGAATTTCTACAATTGTCATTCCATTCTGCTTGATTTGGAAATTTTAGTTTGATTTTTGCCAGTTGTCAACGGCTTCAGATTTGCGCAGATTCATTTGCATTCAAGAGTTTCAATCCTACAAAGGAAAATGAGTTTGCAATCAGAAATTCTTCTTGTAATACTTACAGCTATGGAGATGTAAGCTAGAATATTCAGAAAGGCAACTCCGTCTAGGTGAGGGTATTGCCCAGTCGAGCACTCTCCACTCTCGAGCACGGTTCCTTTTGGGTTTTTTTTTTTTTTTTTTTTTTTTGCTCTGATTATTTTAACTCATTTCTTGTCGGTTTCATTTTTGCTGTTGCGCGCGGTCAGGATTTATTTAAAGGGATTTGTCGTTCTCGTCGTTGTCCTCCGTAATTTCATTTACTTGCCAGATGCGACGTGCGCATATGCCGCGCCGCTGCCCCTGCCGCTGCCCCTGCCCTTGTGGCTGCCCTTGTTCTTGCCCCTTTCTCCATTCCCGCAGGGTCCCTCCAGGTCCTGCTGCTTGCCAATAGCTGTGAAAAATAACATTAACGCGACATTCAGGCAAAAAAAAAAAAAAAAAAAAAAAAAAAAAAAGAAGCGAAAAAATGGATGGAAGGAAGCACATAATACTTATGAAGAGGCCAGCGTGTGCGTGACTCATTTGCATATAGGCACATACACACACACACACACACATTAATATACATGTATACATATATATGGCATATATAGGTCTGTGTCTATGCGATATGGACTTATCCATGCGACCGAAAATCTCCTTATCCCATTTGGTATTGTCATTTCGAGGCTGTTTATGGCCTGCGGCCGGGGCCGTTCGTCAGCTCATTTAAATTAACAGTGGGCGGCGGCGGCGATGCGAGGAGGTGTGGCAGGATATGAAAGGACATGCCGCACAGTCGACGCCATTTGCACTTCATTTTTTGTTCGTTTTGCTGGTTTTTGTCAGATGTTTAAGAACTTTAATAAATCGATTTGTGGCGCCCAAAATTGAATTTGCTTCGCTGATTTTGCTCGTTCAACACGTTCGCGAATACCCTGTAAAGAGCCGATAGGTAAATAAAGGGTTGCTACAATTGCTGTGTGGCTGGTTGACCATTTGGGCTAGGCGCAGGCATACCTATGTATATGTATGTATATGATGTAAGGCTGACACTGACTGGCGCCTTACAACACTGGTAGCTGCAAGCGCACAGAATTGAGACTCACTGGGCCTTGAAAAGGCGCTCACAGAATCATCGAATCATCGTTGCACAGGCTGCAAGTCAGAATTTATTTAAATGTCAATTTCAAACACTATTTTTATACATTGTGCAACACTGGCAAATGGAGGCAATCAGAGCCGATACTCTCTGTAGGCTGTAGCTATAGGGTAGTCAGTTGCAATTACCCCATATTCACACACACACACGCACACAGTCACACATTCATACGCACACACAAGCACATAAACACTTACGCTCATTGCACAACACTGGCAAATGCAAGCGATGCACAGCACTGGACCGCAGATGCAGCTGCTGGCAGTGGCTCTGCATTCAAGTTTAATATGCATGCAGAACAGAGAGCTGGCGCATCGGGTTAAAGCATCAAAGCGTCACAGCATCAAGGCATCAAAGCGTCTAACCGAATGCTCCAGGGATGCTGTCGTGTTGGGCAGCTTTGGGATTACGCAAGCATCCGCGAGCAGCTATGAAATCTGAAATAGCAAAGGCTACTTAAAATGCAATTATGACATTACTGAAAGGGAGGGCGGTGCACACAGAGACAGGGCGTGAGAGAGAGAGAGAGAGAGAGAGGGCGACATGTATAAGGATTAGGGAAGATATGCAGTCTGGCAAATGGAAAATATGAAAAGCGCAACGAGCAATGGACAAGCTCAACGGAAGATTCGAGGGGCGAGAGCGAGAGGGAGGGAGAAAAACGTGAGCAGTTTACCTGATGTGTGGGAGTGTAAAATACATGTCAAGGCGGTCTATGAAAATAACACTGGCCAACAAAATTGTATAATATTAACAAGTGGCTGTGATCGAGACTGCTCGACTAGGAGATACCCTAAGCCAAGCTGGTAATCGAATCATTTTGTACTTCTCTTATGCACACATACATACATACATACACCTGCATCCACAGGCAAGTATAAGCACGCACTCTGCTAAATGCGAGATGGGCAGAAACCTTGAGGGTTCAGTGACCTTGAGGGCTTAGGGACCTTGAGGAGGCAGTGGCCTTGAATGACCTTGAGGAGGCAGTGACCTCGAGGGGCCAGTGACCTCGAGGGGCCAGTGACCAAATTATTCTCTTTTTCTGTCGTTCTCAATCTTTTTCAAGGACTCTCTCCTTTCTTAATCGTTCTTTTATTACTGGCTACGATATTCTGTTGGCTAGTGTAATTACAACATTAGAGCTCAAATCGTATAGTCAATTAAAATCATACTCAACAAATCTTAATAAATATGGTAAAATATCTCGACTTACTTTGGCTTCAGCATCATTTTGGCTAGCCTTTTGATTTAGTAAAGAAAATGTAAAATACTATTTGAATGCAAATTTTATTCCAATGTATAATCTTCAAAAGACTTGAATAGTTGTGAAGCAATTTGGCTTAAAGAAATTCATCAAATTTTGTCGCAAAAAGTAATTCCTGTAGCTTCATTCTGAGAGTGGACTGTTTTTTGTTGGCTTTTTTCGTTTTTAAGCAGCTTACAAAGATGTTGGCAATATGTTCCCATGATATTGTTCATCCAATTGGAAGCGCCCAGAGGGCGGGAATGGAGGCAGAGGTCAGAGTAACCATAAAACCAAATGGAAGCAAAATCAAGCGCAAAATCATAACAGGCAAAATACCATGCGGTGGCAAAGATATTGCATTCAATTATGCCCATGGGCTGAGCTAGCAGTCCGAAAGGCAAGTCAGCCAGCTGCAGACGAGCGTAACCGACTGCATAAGGTTAGTGGAGACGAATTATATCCCCGTCATTTCCATCAAAAAACAGTTTGCTTAAACAACCAATATGCTCACATTACGTTGCATAAACGAGTATAAAAATGCCTTGTAAATCTGAAATAAAACTCTTTTTTTTTTTTCATATATCTGAAAATATATATTGATATACATATGTATATAAGTATATTTGTGAATGTATTGTTGTCGAAAATATTGTTAAGGATTCAAATTAAAATGCGCCCAAAAGCTATAAAAATACGACACGAAAAATTCATGCATGCCAAATTATAGAGACCTCGACTTAAAAATACCCTGTAAATGTGCTTCAGCAAGAGAGACACAAATGAAAAGAAGAGCCAAAACACTCAAATGTAGCATAAATAATATATTATAATGCAGGAAAATATATCTGAAACATAATTTTGAGAGTATTTTGTGGTATAAACTATGTCCAGCAGAGGAAATTTATATTTATTAATATATATAACCATGCATAGCTGTATAGGGTATATATATATATTGGAATATGCAAACCTACATATTTGTATGTTTGTTGGTTTTTAACACAACTGTAACAGCAACAAAATGTGCTTGCATTTTTTTTTATGACTATTATTCTTGTTTTATGTGCATATGTATGGTACTATGTACATATATAAATATGTATACACATATGCGTTAAAAAAAAAAGCATATACTACATTCTCTGTAGTAACGGAAAATTACAAGTAACAAGATTCTAGCTCAGACTGTCCGACTGATAAACACCCTGACTCTCGAGTGAGCTTCTCATTAGGTCTAGCTCTCCTCCTCTTTTTCGTCTACCCATTACATACATAATAGAAAAATCATTATACCTTAGTTTTCGATTTACAGTGTTTAGATTAAGGTTAAGGAAATGTGTAAAAAAATTTACAGCGAACGGAAGAGAGAGAGAGGCAGAGCCTAAAGCAGAGATTGAGTCTGGTAAAGGGAAAGAGAGGGAGAGAGAAAGAGGAATCAGAGACAGCGGCTTGCATGTAAATGTTGTGGCTTCTGCCCAACCAGA